GAGCTGGCCGCAGGCACCGGTGGCTGGTGACAAGGAAGACCAGCAGACAGCCAGCAGCCCCGTCTTTCAGATGGCAGGGGCGTGGCTCATGAAGGCTGTGCCGGGGACAAGGTCATCTCCCCGAGGACAGTGCCCCCCATCACGTTCTCCAAGCTGGGCACTGGCCACGTGCAGGTCGCCCTGAGGCACATGTGAGTGTCTGGGGCCCTGTCCCCTCACGCTGGCCCCTTTCCCATGGCCCCAGGCCCCTGGCCAGGCCCGTCGAGACCGTGGCCACAGAGCCAGCCCCGCTCAGGGTTCTCCCGCCACCTTGCAGGCGCGGGGAGATGCTGAATAACCCTGAACTCGGCGGGGGAAGGGGCCCAGGGGTGGCTCAGCTGGGATGAGGCAGTGGAGGTGGGAGGAACCCGCTGGGATTTGGGGTCCCCCGTGCTGCTCCAAGATTGGGGTGGGGGGCCCGGTGCCTCCCTCCAAGCAGAAGGGGACATTGAGGCCCTGCCCCCTGGGCTCTGTCCTCCAGGATTGATGGCCAGTGCTCTGAAGAGGAGCTTGTCCTGGAAAAGACCAGTGTGCCCAGTGAATATAGTGCCTGTGAGTCCTGGACGGCTGGGGGCACCCAGAGGGGGAGCGATCCCCCAGGCAGCCTCCTGCCCCCACTGCTGTGTCCTGTGGCCAGGAGGGGGCAGTCACAGGGAGGGGGGCCCTGGTTTTAGGGACCCCACTCCTGGGGCTGAGGCCAGGCGGGGACACCGGGGGACAGGTGACCAGACCCGGGGGCATGGTGGTCGGGGGGCCTGGGGTTAGATGCTAACGCGCCCTGTCCCCGACCTCCCGCAGCTGGGGCAAGAGCCACCTGCAGGTGGAGGGGCCGCCCGTGAAGGGGCATCTCGTGTTCTATAGTGAAGGAGAGTACACGGGGGAGAGGTTCAGAGGAGCCGAGCTCGTGGGTGAGTCTCCGCCCCCACACGCCCCCATCTCTGCACAGGACCCACCCACGGTGCTGGGCTGGGTGCTGCCCTGGGAAGGGTGGGTTCAGGGGCCCCACACAGGCTAGGGACAGACATCACCCTCTTGGGCCCAACAGACCACTCACGGAGTGGATTCCAGCCACTGCTGCTGCAAAGAGCCGCTTCCCGGGGTCTCGGACGCGGGGCTGGTCAGCGTTGGGGAGGGTGGTGTTGCTCCTGGAGGCCTCCGGGCTGGGAGTCAAGTCCAAGAATTCTCTGGTCAGAGGGCAGCACGTTCCTCTGGGTCAGGGACGTGACCCTACAGGTCAGCCTCGGAAGCCAGCCCGGGGACCCCCGGAGCCTTCACGGACGCAGGGCGTCCCCACTGCTACCCCTCTTCCCGGGGACGTGTCAGCTGGGTGGGGGCCTGCCTCCTCTGGGCCTGCTCTGTGTCCACTCCCCGGCTGAGCGCCCCTCCTGCCCTCGGCCACTCCACGGTGAACCCTGGTGCGGGGGGGGCCCTGCTCCCTGGATCTGCTCCCCAAGTCTGGGGCTCACCTGGTGCCCGGCCTGCAGGCAGGAATCCCGACGTGAACCAGGAAGCCCTGGATGCTTTTAAGAAGTTCACGCAGTGCAAGGGATTAGCCCAGGAGGACATCTTCACTCCTGCACTGATGGGTAAGGGGACGGCCCTGCTGTGTCCCCGTGCCCCTCCCTGTGTCCTCTCCTCTTTCTCCACGCAGCTCATGACCCTCCTGCCCCTTCCCTGGCGCCTGCGTGGGGTGGGGAGGGGCCTTGGCCCTTGGCCCGGCGTCTCCTAATCCCCGGCTCTGTCTTGGTCTCTACAGAAAGCTGCGATCCTGAAAGTGATTAGGGTGAGTGACCTTGAAGCAAACCAGAGTCCTGGGTCCAGTGGGACGTCAGGGGCCACCCCAAGCTGCAGGCAGGAGGGGCCCGGCCTGAGTCAGGAGGGACTTCTCTGCTCCGAGACCCCTCTGGAACGGGACCCTCCCTTCGATGTCTGTTCCTGAGCTTCATTCCCAGACATTTAGGCCCCCTCTCTGCTCCCCCAGTGTCTGCTGGGTTCACTGCTGTGCACTCGGGAACACGGGGTCTGTCCCCACCCACCCGTGCACCTGGGGAGCTGGATTCTGCCCCCTAGTGGCCTGAATCTGCCCTCCCCCTTCCCCTCCTGGCCTCACTGACTGTCCCCCCTTTCCACGGCAGGGGCACCGAGTCTCCACAGCAGCCCCGGGGCCGCCGCACCGGGACCCTCTGTCGTGGAGGACATGGAAGGGGCCCTGTCCCGGGGGCCTGGGCTGCTCCGCCCCCTCTGGCCCCCCCACTTCCTCCCCCAGCCCCCCACCCCTCTCCTGGCTTCACATAAAGAGCTTCCGCATCCTCCGTGGCTCTGCCTGTCTGTGGGGTCCCTCAGGTGGGCTGGGACCAGAAGGGGGTGTGGACGCAGTGGGGGAGGGTGGGAGGACCCCTGCTGTCCTGGGTCTCCCTGGTCCTGTCTCAGTCCAGGAGGCATGAGGGTCAGGGGAGAGGTGGGTGCCAGCAGCCCTGCCCGAGGTCCCATGGGGGCTCCTGCAGGTCTGACGCCCGTGAAGCTCAGGGTCTCCCTGGTCCTGGGGGTGGGGGGAGGGCTGTGAGGATGACAGGGTCAGCTCCAGTCCCCAGGTGGGGTCACCTGTGCAGGTGGGAATGGCCTGGCCCCTAGCTCCCCACTGGCTGGAGGCCGAGGTAGGAGTGAGGGGAGCCCCCAGTGGAGGATGCAGGAAGGCGCCAGGCTAGCCCAGGCCCACCAGGTTGGGGACAGCAGGACATGGGGACCCCAGCTGGGGTGGGATTCCGCTCCTGCCCCTTCCCCCACTCCTGGCTGGACACAGGCGCTGCCCCCGGGGAGGGAATCACTTCAGCAGTGACCTTGCCCGCATATT